TACAGATTAATGACAGGAAAGTGGGTGGATTCCCCCCCCCCGCCCCAATGATTGCTATTTAAGGGAAAAAAAGAGAGGGGGGATGGTTGACCCTAATGACTAAAGGAAAGAGTGAAAGAGAAAGAAAATGTTTGCAGACACCCGGCCTCAAGCCCTTGTGTTCTGTCTCCATTCCTGTTTGACGCCCGGAGGGCCCTCCTTGAGAGGAGGGGAAGACAAGTAACCCGGCTGACATGTTACCGTTCTCAGGAGGCCTTCTCTGTGGGGTCCCCAGTGCAGCGCTCCCCTTTCTGCCCTGAGCTCCGCTCGCCCTGGCTGCTGCGCTCTGTTGAGCAAACCAGGCCTGCCCTTGCCTTTGCACAGGTTGCTCCCTCTGCCTGGGCTGTTCTTCTGCCAGCGACCTTCATTGTCAAACCTTTGGTTGAACGCCCCCGTCTCTAAAGGCCCCGGTTAAAACCGTGCGTTTGGCTTCTCTGTTCCCAGACCTTCCTGACCCGCCGTCAGCCTTTCTCTCCCAGAACCACCCTCTCTGACAGCCTGTCGCTGTGCTCACCTGCTCTGCCTGTCTGCCGCCCCCAGCCCCCCACGGCTGCTCTCCCCCGGACCAGCAGGGTCTCCTTGGCAACTTCCATACCCAGCAAACGTAGCCGGCAGGGAGNAACGCCCCCGTCTCTAAAGGCCCCGGTTAAAACCGTGCGTTTGGCTTCTCTGTTCCCAGACCTTCCTGACCCGCCGTCAGCCTTTCTCTCCCAGAACCACCCTCTCCGACAGCCTGTCGCTGTGCTCACCTGCTCTGCCTGTCTGCCGCCCCCAGCCCCCCACGGCTGCTCTCCCCCGGACCAGCAGGGTCTCCTTGGCAACTTCCATACCCAGCAAACGTACCCGGCAGGGAGTAGACCCTCGCCTATCGTGAGTCCTTGACTTAGGATGTAGTTCTCCGGACCCCCAGTTTCTGGCCGCCGCTGTTTTCTCCTTTTAGGTTTGGCACGCTCTCCTTCATTGGCTGCTTTTGCCATCACTTGTTTTTCTTTAGCCGAAGGCCTTTTTTGGAAAGGTCAGCTGAATCAGACCAACTGCTCAGAACAGCTGGAGGTGGGGGCAGATGGCCCACCACGAGGAGAAGAGGGGTGGGTATGTGTGGGGGTCTGCCCCAGCCCTCGAGATTGTGGGGTGCTTTCTGGGGAGCAGACTCTCATGAGCATCACCTCAGGAACATGGCCTTGGAGACCTTCTCTCTCAGAGGCAGATGGCTTGCCTAAGAGAATTTCAGGGCCCAGTTTAGCTTAGTATCAGAGCCTGTGGGTAGCAGTAGGCCCTGCCTGGTGCCTGGCCAGACCAATGAGGGTCCCTGGAGCTAGGCACTGGGGGCTGCTCTGTTGGGGGTCGCTGGTGGAAGGTCCTTCCTCCCCATCCTCACTGTGAGGAGTAGTAAGATGGCGATTGCCAGGATCCACATGCCCACGGGGAAGGGCTTACCATCAAAAGCAGGTTTTTCTTCTTGCATCTTGACCCTCCCTGCCTTGCCAGTTATTTATTCTTTCTTTTCTTAATCTCCTTTACATGGGTACACTTCAAGAACTATTCCTGTCTTCGGAGAATTTTCCGTGTGAGGTCAAGGCAGCAGCCGTTCTGAAATTTTCAGACTTCTGTTAACTTCAGCCATCTGGTACATCAGGGGCTGGGGGGGCTGGGAGATCCAAACCAGGGAGAAAAGACGTCTGAGGGGACAAAAGATCTAACACAAAGCCCAAGCATAAAAATATTGCAGTTTATTTAAAGGCCAGTAGTGTCCAGGATTTGATTTAGGTCATACTTGAATGGTCTAGTGGTTTTCCCCACTTTCTTCAATTTCAGTCTGAATTTGGCAATAAGGAGTTCATGATCTGAGCCACAGTCAGCTCCTGGTCTTGTTTTTGCTGACTATATAAAGGGATTCTCCATCTTTTGCTGAAAAGAGTATAATCAATCTGATTTCGGTGTTGACCATCTGGTGATGTCCATGTGTAGAGTCTTCTCTTGTGTTGTTGGAAGAGGGTGTTTGCTATGACCAGTGCGTTCTCTTGGCAAAACTCTATTAGCCTTTGCCCTGCTTCATTCTGTACTCCAAGGCCAAATTTGCCTGTTATTCCAGGTGTTTCTTGACTTCCTACTTTTGCATTCCAGTCCCCTATAATGAAAAGGACATCTTTTTTGGGTGTTAGTTCTAAAAGGTCTTGTAGGCCTTCATAGAACC